CTTTAATGGCAGTCACCTACAAAGTGCGGAAAAGATAATGATTCATTTCTATGGGTGTGGTCATTGTTGCTAGGGAGATGCCCACCCAGCACCCCTTATTAATGTTGCTGATATATTATAATGAGTCGCATAGCATACTGTATATGCTCTATTAGTAGCACATGTGCTTATGTAAATGGAGATCTATTGTCAAAATAATCATATTTTAAATGTAAATTCTTCATTTATCACATTTTTTTTCTATACTAACAATAGTCGAACTTACCAATAATAGAGGCATCTGCTCTTTCTGATCCATTTACAACATTTGATGGCATCCCAAGATCAAATATTTCATAAATACCACCATTCTTAGTATCTAACATATTGAAAACAAAAAATCATCACAAATTATTTCACTTCATTTCATTCTACCTTACTCATCATTCGTTCCATTTCACTCCAGGCAAACCCATCCACTCAACTCTATATTTTTGTCCCACTCCACTCCTCGAACCCACGCTTCTTCCCACTATCTAAACCTCACGCAATTTGACTTCGCTCAAAAAAACCATAAACAGACCAACAATTTATATCAGAGGCACACTACCTTGTCTGTCCCATTTGAATTCTCCTTTACTTTGTCTTCCAGTAGAGAATCCAATGTAATTAGCAACGACTGGAACATCATTATAATATTTCAAGAAGACAGACTCGACAATTGGAGCTGTACCATAACCAACCTTAGAGGAAGGAACAAATGAAAAATATCATGTTACATATATTCAGTGCTCAAGAAAACCCTGCCACATACCTCAGAGTTTCTGCTCGTACTGAACAACAGATCTAGAATCTAAATTCTTACTGAAATCTGTGGAGTCTCAGCTCTTACAAGGCCAAGCTACCAAGTCTCACTTCTTACAGAGCCAAGCTACAGATCTGAAGTCTCACTTCTTACAGAGCCAAGCTATAGATCTGAAGTCTCAGCTCTTACAGAGCCAAGCTACAGATCTGAAGTCTCAGCTCTTACAGAGCCAAGCTACAGATCTGAAGTCTCACTTCTAACACAGCCAAGCTACCAGTCTGAAGTCTCACTTCTTACAGAGCCAAGTTACAGATCTGAAGTCTCAGCTCTTACAGAGCCAAGCTACAGATCTGAAGTCTCAGCTCTTACAGAGCCAAGCTACAGATCTGAAGTCTCACTTCTAACACAGCCAAGCTACCAGTCTAAAGTCTCACTTCTTACAGAGCCAAGCTATAGATCTGAAGTCTCAGCTCTTACAGAGCCAAGCTACAAATCTGAAGTCTCACTTCTAACACAGCCAAGCTACCAGTCTGTAGTCTCACTTCTTACAGAGCCAAGCTACAGATCTGAAGTCTCAGCTCTTACAGAGCCAAGCTACAGATCTGAAGTCTCACTTCTTACAGAGCCAAGCTATAGATCTGAAGTCTCACTTCTAACAGAGCCAAGCTACCAGTCTGAAGTCTCAGCTCTTACAGAGCCAAGCTACAAATCTAAAGTCTCACTTCTTACAGAGCCAAGCTATAGATCTGAAGTCTCAGCTCTTACAGAGCCAAGCTACAGATCTGAAGTCTCACTTCTAACACAGCCAAGCTACCAGTCTGTAGTCTCACTTCTTACAGAGCCAAGCTACAGATCTGAAGTCTCAGCTCTTACAGAGCCAAGCTACAGATCTGAAGTCTCACTTCTTACAGAGCCAAGCTATAGATCTGAAGTCTCACTTCTAACAGAGCCAAGCTACTAGTCTGTAGTCTCACGTCTTACAGAGTCAAGTTACAGATCTGAAGTCTCATTTCTTAGAGAGCCAAGCTACCAAGTCTCACTTCTAGCAGAGCCAAGCTACCAAGTCTCACTTCTAGCAGAGCCAAGCTACAGATCTGTAGTCTCGGCTCTTACAGAGCCAAGCTACAGATCTGAAGTCTCAGCTCTTACAGAGACAAGCTACAGATCTGAAGTCTCACTTCTTACAGAGCCAAGCTACATATCTGAAGTCTCACTTCTTACAGAGCCAAGCTGCCAAGTCTCACTTCTTACAGAGCCAAGCTATGAGTCTGTAGTCTCGCGTCTTACAGAGCCAAGCTACAGATCTGAAGTCTCACGTCTTACAGAGCCAAGTTACAGATCTGAAGTCTCACTTCTTACAGAGCCAAGCTACCAAGTCGCACTTCTAGCAGAGCCAAGCTACAGATCTGTAGTCTCAGCTCTTACAGAGCCAAGCTGCAGATCTGAAGTCTCACTTCTAACAGAGCCAAGCTACTAGTCTGTAGTCTCACGTCTTACAGAGCCAAGTTACAGATCTGAAGTCTCATTTCTTACAGAGCCAAGCTACCAAGTCTCACTTCTTACAGAGCCAAGCTACCAAGTCTCACTTCTAACAGAGCCAAGCTACAGATCTGTAGTCTCACTTCTAACAGAGCCAAACTACAGGTCTGAAGTCTCAGCTCTTACAGAGCCAAGCTACAGATCTGAAGTCTCACTTCTTACAGAGCCAAGCTACAAATCTGTAGTCTCAGCTCTTACAGAGACAAGCTACAAATTTGAAGTCTCAGCTCTTACAGAGCCAAGCTACAGATCTGAAGTCTCAGCTCTTACAGAGCAAAGCTACAGATCTGAAGTCTCACTTCTAACAAAGCCAAGCTACAGATCTGAAGTCTCACTTCTTACAGAGCCAAACTACAAATCTGAAGTCTCAGCTCTTACAGAGCCAAGCTACCAGTCTGAAGTCTCAGCTCTTACAGAGCCAAGCTACAGATCTGAAGTCTCAGCTCTTACAGAGCCAAGCTACAAATCTGAAGTCTCAGCTCTTACAGAGCCAAGCTACAGATCTGTAGTCGCAGCTTTTACAGGGCCAAGCTACAGATCTGAAGTCTCACTTCTTACAGAGCCAAGCTACCAAGTCTCACTTCTAACAGAGCCAAGCTACAGATCTGTAGTCTCACTTCTAACAGAGCCAAACTACAGGTCTGAAGTCTCAGCTATTACAGAGCCAAGCTAGAGATGTGTAGTCTCAGCTCTTACAGAGCCAAGCTACAGATCTGAAGTCTCACTTCTTACAGAGCAAAGCTACAGATCTGTAGTCTCAGCTCTTACAGAGACAAGCTACAAATTTGAAGTCTCAGCTCTTACAGAGTCAAGCTACAGATCTGAAGTCTCAGCTCTTACAGAGCCAAGCTACAGATCTGAAGTCTCCCTTCTAACAAAGCCAAGCTACAGATCTGAAGTCTCACTTCTTACAGAGCCAAACTACAAATCTGAAGTCTCAGCTCTTACAGAGCCAAGCTACCAGTCTGAAGTCTCAGCTCTTACAGAGCCAAGCTACAAATCTGAAGTCTCAGCTCTTACAGAGCCAAGTTACAGATCTGAAGTCTCACTTCTTACAGAGCCAAGCTACAGATCTGAAGTCTCACTTCTTACAGAGCCAAGCTACCAAGTCTCACTTCTAGCAGAGCCAAGCTACAGATCTGTAGTCTCAGCTCTTACAGAGCCAAGCTACAGATCTGTAGTCTCAGCTCTTACAGATTTGAAGTCTCAGCTCCTACAGAGCCAAGTTACAGATCTGAAGTCTCACTTCTTACAGAGCCAAGCTACAGATCTGTAGTCTCAGCTCTTACAGAGCCAAGCTACAGATCTGAAGTCTCAACTCTTACAGAGCCAAGCTACAGATCTGAAGTCTCAGCTCCTACAGAGCCAAGTTACAGATCTGAAGTCTCACTTCTTACAGAGCCAAGCTACAGATCTGTAGTCTCAGCTCTTACAGAGCCAAGCTACAGATCTGAAGTCTCAACTCTTACAGAGCCAAGCTACAGATCTGAAGTCTCAGCTCCTACAGAGCCAAGTTACAGATCTGAAGTCTCACTTCTTACAGAGCCAAGCTACCAAGTCTCACTTCTTACAGAGCCAAGTTATTAATGCCCTTTTATTTTATTATTTTACTTTGATTTTGTGATTTTTTTTTAAATTCCGCCCTACCTACATCTGATCCGACGCCTCTGTAAGTCCCGTTCAAATCTCGCGTAAGTAACAGCCAATCACAGCCCCCCTTTTATACAGGCTGTCGGTTGCTTACTTTTCAGTGTAGCGATACTCTACGAGCAATCTTTCTGTACATTATATTTTGCCCACTTGAATAAACCATTAATAGAAAATTGCTAGTATATTTTTATTTGCAAAAAAAATTCCACAGCATTTTACAATTTTTGTCATTACATTGAATATTTTTTTCACTTCCAACAAATGTGTACACTTCCAGATACATCTTCGCCAGCCAAGGTTCGTTCATTCAGTCATCGCTTCAATTTTACATCACTGAGCATAATTATCTAGAATGGAAGCAAAAAAATAAGTAAATCGTAATGATTAGAACATTGTAAACAGTTATAGTAAACAATGCAAACTGATTTTAAATTGTATAACGTCACCGGCCCACGGCATCGACGCCGAAAATTGGAGCAAAAAAATATTTTCTCAATTACTTTAATAAAGAGTTATTGTATAATGTACATAATGTTGATACAATTTGATGAATATTTACAGCTACGGCTTCAATACCGTAGACGATGTAGGCCCGATCGTCAACAAAACATCACCCGTCTCCAGGGCAAGCGACTGGAAAAAGACACTGGTGTTCGGTCGAAACGGTGGAAACAAAATCGTCATTCCCAGAATAACTATGCAAAATAACAATCTAAAGTCGAACCATTCGAGCCACAATATTAACATAAAAATGACTTTCGCTGCATATGACAATGATAAACTTACCAAAAGTCGTGTTATTCTCGGTCGCTAACATCGGTGTAATCCGCCATTTTATTTGAGTGTGTTTGCCACCCGACTCCGCCCGGTGACGTCATCATGTGCACTATAGAAGGAGGTCTATGATTCGTTGACTAAAATCGTCGATAGTGGGTCTCGTTGAAATCTCGTTACATAGGCATCGGGTCAGATGTAGGTAGGGTGGAATTAAAAAAAAATCACAAAATCAAAATCAAAATCAAAGTAAAATAATAAAGTAAAATAATAAAATAAAATAAAATAAAAGGGCATTAATAAAAAATAAAATTAAAATAAGTTTATAGCCAAAATAATTAAAGCCCGTACACTACATCAGATTTTAATCAGATTGACTTCTAACAGAGCCAAGCTACAGATCTGTAGTCACAGATCTGAAGTCTCACTTCCTACAGAGCCAAGCTGCCAGTCTGAAGTCTCAGCTCTTACAGAGCCAAGCTGCCAGTCTGAAGTCTCAGCTCTTACAGAGCCAAGCTACAAATCTGAAGTCTCAGCTCTTACAGAGCCAAGCTACAGATCTGAATTCTCAGCTCTTACAGAGCCAAGCTGCCAGTCTGAAGTCTCAGCTCTTACAGAGCCAAGCTGCCAGTCTGAAGTCTCAGCTCTTACAGAGCCAAGCTGCCAGTCTGAAGTCTCAGCTCTTACAGAGCCAAGCTACAGATCTGTAGTCTCACTTCTTACAGAGCCAAGCTACAGATCTGAAGTCTCAGCTCTTACAGAGCCAAGCTGCCAGTCTGAAGTCTCAGCTCTTACAGAGCCAAGCTGCCAGTCTGAAGTCTCAGCTCTTACAGAGCCAAGCTACAAATCTGAAGTCTCAGCTCTTACAGAGCCAAGCTACAGATCTGAATTCTCAGCTCTTACAGAGCCAAGCTGCCAGTCTGAAGTCTCAGCTCTTACAGAGCCAAGCTGCCAGTCTGAAGTCTCAGCTCTTACAGAGCCAAGCTGCCAGTCTGAAGTCTCAGCTCTTACAGAGCCAAGCTACAGATCTGTAGTCTCACTTCTTACAGAGCCAAGCTGCCAGTCTGAAGTCTCAGCTCTTACAGAGCCAAGCTACAGATCTGAAGTCTCAGCTCTTACAGAGCCAAGCTACAGATCTGAAGTCTCAGCTCTTACAGAGCCAAGCTACAGATCTGACGTCTCCTCTTACAGAACATTATGTTAATTAGTATGAAAATTGGTATGCAAATTAGCCATGACCCTGAGACAATTTTTTGGGAAGGAAACTGCTATCTGAAGTTGTATCAAAACATGCAGAGGAAATACCTGAATGGTCCCATTTCGCCAACTAATCCAAAAAGATCGGAATTCATCTGACGACAGAATTTCGACTGATGGAACAGCCACTTCATGATCACCTGGCAACAAAGAATAAATCACAGTTCAATTACAAAATCTAGGTTAATTATATAGAAGCATTGTGGATTAATTTTCAATTAATCAATGTTTTAAAGTTGCATTATGCATTCTTATCTGGGCAAGGCATAGGATTGGTGTCACCTACAGGACCACATGCCAATTACTCAAGGTATGTGTGATAGAATACTTTAAAATGTGACAGCTGCAAAAATAAAAATAACAAAATTAATCCTAGTTCCGTTGATGAAATGGCTGTGAAACTGGTACAAGATCAATAAAATATCAGTTTCTGACTCTTGATATCAGATTATTAAGTTTGTGTCAACATTTTTATATGTTCCTGGACTTTGGCAAGGCAACACCCAATACTGGTAAAACAATGATAATGCATTCTCAATTTATTTCTTTGCTCGATACAGTTAAACCTTTCTCGCCCAAATTTTGGCTGCACTTTTGTTTTAATTTCTTCAATATTTCTGAAAATGGACCCTAATTTTGAAGCCAACAGACAAAATTTGTGTCAATTCTCAATTTTCACTCAAAAAATTTTGCCACAAAAAATAGCCCACACAGTAAAGATATTTCCAGATTGACAAATCATTGAATTTGGAGTCATAGTTTACTGAAATATAAAAAAAAAATTCAAGTGATGAGCAATGCATGATCACTGTACTGACTTTGTGGATTTCAGGAGATATTCTTGTGATGAGTTCAGTTTATTTCATTAATTATGAAAAATTATTTTTTTCTGGGATGGTTGAATTATTATAGTGGGTGCAACTAATAATGGACTACAGTAGTTACCTTGTTTAGACCTTGCAATCCATGACTGGGTATTCAGCCAACCACCAAGCACAATCTCATACATATCATTCATATCCATTGATAATGAAGACAAAGCTATATGTACATCATTTTTGGCTTTGGTTGAGAAGGTAAAAAACTCAGAAAATTCAGGAATTCTGAAATACTGATACTCATAATTGGCTGGTGTGGAAATGTGAACTTTTTCTGAAACAATAAAAGTAGTCAATATCATTTGTAATGTGCCTTGATGTCATTCTTGAGATATTCATATTCATAAAATATAAATTTTAAAATGCATAAAATGTTGATGGCATCCGCATAACTTTAACCAAGATTCACATTTGTAAGTTATTGAATCTCAGCCAAACAAGTAAACTGTCAACATTCGGTCATATCTAATTATTATAATAAATATTGTGTATAAACATAATATTCGTAAATATTTGACTGTACTATACTTGATCATGACACATTCGACAGCAGACGAATTATTCAATCATAATGGCAGTTTTTGATATTATGACACAAACAAATCTTAACGAATACATTATAAAAGTGCTGAAACGTTTAGACTACCATAATATTTTTTTCCAAAATTACCAGTACCTCAGCGTACCTACGGGAAGCAGCATTTAGAATAACTTTGCATACATTATGTTAATGTAATTTATTTCGTGACGTCAACTATGAAGTTCACATCAACTAGAAACTTGCAGATGGGAACAGTTCCTCGGGACATTTGAATGTCTAGGATACACAATTACATTAGGCCTTAGGAATGTCAACAACTACCAAACAAGCTGTGATACACCCAACCATTTCTGGTTTTTCATTTTCTGGAAATTAATGGACAAAAATACTCACCATTAGGACAGAAGAAGACACTGTGAGTATAATACCTAGGAATACCTTCAGGCTGTAAATAAGATATAATAATTTGGACAAATAAATATAGATATGATACCAAAAACAACAGAAATTAGCTGGCTGTAGAAACATGTATTGGTGTTGTTGTGCTATGAATGTCTTTATTATTTAGAAATGTGCATTTGAAATGAAATTTGAACATTTTCCTTTCACATCTGAAACTGCAATAACTTAGAATTATGTCACTATTAAAATGCACTGAATCTTGTAAAATTCTTTTTGCTGCATGGTATTTTGGGGATGTAATAAAACATTGTAACTATGACTACAAGCAGGAAATGATGTATCATGATCAGGCACTAGGATGTTTATCAACCGAAACGTAAGCTATGGACTTCATCAACCAATAACAACAGAACGATAAAGAAAGTAGAACTGTTACCACAATCATAAGTTGTCTTGACACTTTATCCACTCCTATTAAATCTTCATATATGCTATTACCCGACTGACAGCAGTCTCTGGTTTCATATGCCTCAGCATGTGCTAAAATCAATGACAAGTTGATTGATTGGTTGTTAGTTAAATTACACAACACTACATTGTAGGTTTGAAAATTCACACTGGCATGCAAGTTATCTTAACAATAACAATACTGTTTAAATTTAAAATCCCAAATGGATAATTTTATGTGTACATTATTAGCTAGAATCGCTAATAGAAATCTAATGTGGCTAATTTATGTATACATTATTAGCTAGAAACGATAATAGAAATCTAATGTGGCTAATTTTATGTGTACACTATTATATACTAGATTCACTAACAGAAAACTAATATGGCTAATTTTAGGTGTACATTATTAGCTAGAATTGCTAAAACCAATGTGGCTAAATTTAGGTATACATTATTAAATATTAGCTAGAATTGCTGATAAATATCTAATGTGGCTAATTTTATGTGTACATTATTGGCTAAAATTGCTAATAGAACTTTTATGTGGCTAATTTTATGTGTACACCATTAGCTAGATTCACTAACAGAAAACTAATATGGCTAATTTTAGGTGTACATTATTAGCTAGAATTGCTAAAACCAATGTGGTTAAATTTAGGTATACATTATTAATTATTAGCTAGAATTGCTGATAAATATCTAATGTGGCTAATTTTATGTGTACATTATTGGCTAAAATCTCTAATAGAACTTGTATGTGGCTAATTTTATGTGTACACCATTAGCTAGATTCACTAACAGAAAAATAATATGGCTAATTTTAGGTGTACATTATTAGCTAGAATTTCTAAAATCAATGTGGCTAAATTTATGTATACATTATTAGCTAGAATTGCTGATAAATATCTAATGTGGCTAATTTTATGTGTACATTATTAGCTAGAATTGCTAAAATCAATGTGGCTAAATTTATGTATACATTATTAGCTAGAATTGCTGATAAATATCTAATGTGGCTAATTTTATGTGTACATTATTAGCAAGACTTGCTAATAGAAATCTAATGTGGATAATTTTATGTGTACATTATTAGCTAGAATCGCTGATAGAATTCCTATGTAGCTATATCTGCAATATTAATTAAATGAATAAAAAAAATGTTCATAAAATGTGAACTACATCTGATAAAATTACCAAATTCATAATTATATTAAGACGCTTTTCAAGATCATTATTATATCAATGTATGATTTTCTGTTGTGTCATCGGAGCACAAATTATTTTTGTGCATCAGTGACATGTTATATCGTCTTAGAGGGCATACTGGTGAGAATACTGTGAACAGGAACAACACAAATGTCAACAGCACTACATCTGGATGTCATTCTTTATGAAAGCTGCTAGATGGGAAATGAGCAGAAGACCATGAGAATTAAAACCCATAAACATAATAGAAATATTCCAACGTTAAATAAAAAGATATCCACTCCACCTGTAATGTTTTCATAGCCAAGTTCCTCAAATACTAATAAGACAGATGTGACATAAGTTTCTTTTGCTTGGAGACACATTTCTTGTCTTGATCTTCTATGCTGCTCAGTAACAAATCTCACACCCTGTGGAACATGAATGACTAGATGCACCTATATGATATAAAACAAAACACAATCAATTATTAACTATTTTATAACATCACACACATATTACATTTCTTGCAACAAAATAGTAATGATCAACAGTGACATTGCAACAGTGCAAATGCTCATGCTACTGTTGTGTTACTATTCTGTTCCCTGCTTTGCCTCTGCTGACATTACGTACTGCACACAGGTCAAAATATAAACCTTGCTCACTGTAAAAACATTTAATTATATATGACAAAGCATGACACATAATATTGACAAATGTTCAAATTTACTAGCTTGTCTATAATTAAGCAACAGACTTTTGAGCAGATCTCTAAAAACTGACCTCCATCAATATGTAAATATTTTAATTCAAAACCGGGGGGGGGGGATTGTTCTATAAACCATGGAAACAAGCTTGGGCACAACATTTTTATCATGTGTAAAGTTTAACAAGTTTGTACTTACCCATACATGTAATACTAGTTACTTATAGCCACAAAGAACCTTACCTTGACACAGACATCCTGGTAGTTATAAATAGTAACAGGAAGCTTGATTTGTTCTCCTCGTATCACTGAATATGGAATGGTGAATTCTACAAAGAATGGCTTGAATGTTTTCACTGTTACTGGTTCAGCTACACCAAGCCCATGTTGTCCAGACAGACTGACTGCATCAATCACCCAGGATGTTATGGTGTCTGGTAGTTTTACTTTCATTACATCATTCTTTCTTGTTGAGCTGAGAAGGAAAATATCAGAATGTCACTCTACAATTACCGTCACATTGCATTTTTATGTACTGCCTTAAAATAGTTCTGTGTGGGAGTAGAATAATTCAGGATAATTCTGTCCAGGATATGCCAACATTTCAAATGCTGAACATAAAAATATGCAGAGGAATTGCAGATTTAAACTGTTGGACAGAACTATCCTGGGGAATTGCAGATTTCAACTGTTGGACAGAACTATCCTGAGGGATTGCAGATTTCAACTGTTGGACAGAACTATCCTGGGGAATTGCAGATTTCAACTCTTGGATAGAACTATCCTGAGGGATTGCAGATTTCAACTGTTGGACAGAACTATCCTGGGGAATTGCAGATTTCAACTCTTGGACAGAACTATCCTGGGGAATTGCAGATTTCAACTGTTGGACAGAACTATCCTGAGGGATTGCGGATTTCAACTGTTGGATAGAACTATCCTGAGGGATTGCAGATTTCAACTGTTGGATAGAACTATCCTGAGGGATTGCAGATTTCAACTGTTGGACAGAACTATCCTGAGGGATTGCAGATTTCACCTGTTGGATAGAACTATCCTGAGGGATTGCAGATTTCAACTGTTGGACAGAACTATCCTGAGGGATTGTAGATTTCTCCTGGTGGACAGAACTATCCTGAGGGATTGTAGATTTCAACTGTTGGACAGAACTATCTTGGGGGATTGCAGATTTAAATTGTTGGATAGAACTATCCTGAGGGATTGCAGATTTCAACTGTTGGACAGAACTATCCTGAGGGATTGCAGATTTAAACTTTTGGACAGAACTATCCTGGGGAA